ATTTGGAAAAACATATGCCCTCAGAAAAAGTGATAATTGGGAATGGAGAGTGTGGAGGGACTAAGAAAGGGACCAGTGAAATAGACTGTTACTTTCACTGATGAAAACTGAATGTAATCTCCTATCTTTCCTCACTCACTAGGCTCAGGTTCAACCTTCTCCTTGCTTTTACCTAATTTACAGACAGTGCTTTGTGAACATCCAAAAAAAAATCTTAAAAAAATGGTGAATTACCTTCTTTTTATGTCATAAATTCATGCTTAATGATGCTTTGGAGGTTACAAATTTTGCTACAAATTATGAGGGACAGAAGAGATACAACTTGGGTTTGCAGGTTCAGCTTGCAGCAGAGAAAATAGAACAAACTTTGGACTTTGAAATAAATCCAACCTCCAAGTCACCAAGGAAAATTAAAATGTTAAACCTGTCCATGGCTATCCAGTTCTAAACATGAAAAAGCTATCCAGTTCTAAACATGAAGATATTTGTGTTTAGGTCACACACCTCCAGCCTCCCAACATATCCTGCTTATGTTACAGTAACACATGACCAGTCCCTCTGATAACATTTCTTGTTTGTCTGGCCTGGCACCAGTCTTTTCAGCACAGCTAATCACCCCTGCCAGCACCAATTTTGCAAGACTATGTTTTTTCCTCACTTTCTCTGTTAGTACTAAACACATTGTAACAATGGCTTTGGACAGTGAAACTCATTCTGGAATAGTGACTTTGACTTTAATATTTCCAACTTGCCCAGAGGGAAAGTAGTCCTAAAATGGCCTAGTAGCAGAGGAAATGGCAACAAAGTCATCTTCAGCAAGCCTCTGCCACATTGAGTCACTATCAAGTTCACTTCAGAGAGATGGCATAGGTAAACAGAATATGGAATAAATTTCTCAAGCTTTTTATTAAGGAGAAAACAGTTGTGAGCCTGAATGATCCCTGTTATTGATATACACAGCTCTGTGTCATCAAAGAATTACACATATCTTTCTTTCATTTTTCCCATTGCAACCTAGGAAGTTTAGCGATAAATTGTTTACTTTTATTTGGTAGACAATATGGCTTAGTAATAAGAGGTAACAATCTAGACAGAGGAATCACAGGGAGTTCTAGGTCCCCTTGTCTCTTAGAGCTAAACTGTGGCAAGTCACCAAATTTCTCTGAGTCTCAGATTACTCCTTGTATAAAATAAAAATTTTAAATATTTCATATTACTGTTCTAAGAGTCAAGTGGAAAAATGAACATCAAAGGGCTTTGAAATAATATAAAATTTTACTCATAAATCATCAGAAATCCTGTTTCTGCCCCTAAAGGGAGTTAAATTTGCATGAATTCATCTACTCCCTCTCAAACAGTCCTCCTCCTTGAGAATAACTTCTAACATTCATTTTTAAAAAAAGATGACTGAGTTAAGGGTGTGGCTAGAATAAAGCTACTGTCCCCAAAAGGAAGTAGATCTATAGTTTAGCCTAGTAAGACCACACACAGAAGGAAATGGTCTGACTGCCTTCATATTTATAGTTTCAAGAAGTACTTGAACTTTATGAATACTGATTGGTTTGCTGATTGGTTAATGTTCAATTATTTGATTCCCACTCGTGGAATGCCATTAGATCATTAGCATCTAATAGATGGATGAGCTCAATGTTGTCAGGGGTGAGCAGATGTTTCACAGCTGGGAGCCTCCAGAGAGCTAAGGTGCAAAAATGAGCCATGTTTTCAAAAATCAGCTTTGGTGATTCTAATACTGAAACACACTACTCCATAGAGAAATTTTTCAAAGACTATACAAAGCACTTTGTAAATACAGTATTGAATATACCATTGGAAAATTCAAGAGGAAGAATTTTAATTTGTAACCACTGAATGATAGTGTATAGAATTCCATCTCTGTATTGAAATTATATCTCTTTATACTTACAACTAGATCGGTAGTTTAATATTTTGCAAGGGATAACAATAATTATGTCTATAGAGATTAATTACCCTAATCAAGGCAAACAATGAAATGATGCTGTGCTTATTTTAAGGTATTTCTGCCTAGCACCAGTTGGACTCAAACTATGAGCTTAATTCTCTGTTCCATTGGTGAGGTGACATAAAACTATTAAACTTTACAACATAATGTACATTTAAATACTGAGCTTGAAGTTACACTTCCAAAAGAAAGTTTCCACTGTATCTTGTATTCAGTAAAATTGGTTCTCCAATGAAGAAAGACTGCTTGCCCACTGCTCCAGCATTAGCATTACTTTTTCAACTTGCCTCGTTAAGCCTTGGATAAGGGAACTGATTTCCATAGAATTTTNTCCAAAGAAAGTTTCCACTGTATCTTGTATTCAGTAAAATTGGTTCTCCAATGAAGAAAGACTGCTTGCCCACTGCTCCAGCATTAGCATTACTTTTTCAACTTGCCTCGTTAAGCCTTGGATAAGGGAACTGATTTCCATAGAATTTTTACAGTTTGGTTCTTGCCAACGGTTTCTTTCAAGCTACCAGAAAGGTCTGTGAGGACGTTCTGTTCTAAGTAGTAAATAGACCACTCTAGACTGTCTGCAACTACAACTGCTGTTTTCTTAGGCAAGAGCTTACTTTTGTGCTTCTGTGATCATACAGGCGGAGACGCCCCACCGTAGCACAATGCAGAGACCTTATTAGGCACTCACTAGTCATTGAATGTCCCATGTTTCCTTGGGGTTATTTTCTAAGCTTTTGGCCCTGAAGTCTCTCAGTTACTCCAAAGTTAACTAAGCATAAGCTATTTCCATGAGAAAAAAGCTACCTCTCACTGAAAAGGAAAAATGACTAACATTTGCAGGCCAGCTTCATAACAAAACAGGTAGGTTTTCTTTCATCTTTAAATTTTTACTCACATTTCCCTGGAAAGTCTTTTAAAATAACTTTTTTGAGGGAAATACTCTCCATCTGTACCAAATTAGTGGCTGCTTCCTAAAAGGAATAAAAAAAGGCGCGTTTGCAGAAATCTCTTCAGCCTTTTCATTAAACCCAGGACCCCATCACTCGTTTCATGTGGAGAGCCGAGGGGTGAGCCGAAGGGAGTGCCCGGGGGAGAGAGCCCCGCCCCTCCAGGGGAGCCCCGCCCCGCACCGCCCCGCCCACACTAGATCTGCTTAGAGCCCCGCCTCGTCCTTAGAGGTTCTAGCCAATCCTGTAATCGCTAACGCCGTGGACAGAGCTATCGCGATACTCTAACAGTAGCCTTCAGGAGACGTTAACCGCATGAACCTGCGCAGAAGAGATTTATGAAGTCACTGCCGGAGAAAGGGGGCGGGACGCCCCGACGTACGCGTTCGTTTTGACCCCACGTTCCAGAGCGCGCCCGGTAGCCAGGAGCTGTTGTTTTTTGCGTCTCCAGGGAACCCCAACACAAACCAGCCTGAGGTGCGGCCTCAGGCGGATGTTTGATGGGTGGCGAAGGCGTTCTCGGGACCTGCTGGGACTTTAGAGGACCCCCGGTCCTGGTGCAGAGAGCCTCTTAAGAGACTTGGAGAACCAGTTTAGGTAGGCGCTTGGGTGATGGAGGGTCAGGGGTCAGAGATTGGCGGGTGGAAGACTTCTGGATGGAGACGGAGCCCCGGGGAGGAAGGACTGTTATTCTGGAGCACGAGATGCTGAAGGACTGACGGGAATCGGCAGCACTAGCCTTCCTGACCCTTTCCCATCCCAGACGTGCGGGCCTCTCGACTGCTAGGGCTTCCTCGGGAGAATGTGGGGCCGTGGGAAAGGACGCTCTTCGTCCCCGGAGGCTGAGGCCTGCCGTATTTTGTTCTAGCGTCGGAGTGGCTATCGGTGCGCTCCTCCGCCATGCGGTAGCCTGTTCACTCTCCTGGAACCGCTTTTGAGTCGGAAGTAAAGTGAGTGGGTATCACCATTCGCTAAAGTAAGCCCCTGAAAGCTAGAAGTGGGCAACTGCCTGGCTTCGATACGCAGGGTTGTAATGTAATAAAAGGAGAAGCCAAATCATTTAAATTAGTCTGAGTTCTCGTTACCTTTGGATTAATAACAGTGGCATTCAGAACCTCGCTTGCACGTTGTACATTTTGATTCCATGGTATTTGCCAGGTTTATAACTAAGATGTGTTACCTGATGGTTGACGGTCACTGTCAATCATACAAAATTATTAAGTAATGACCATTAAGGTTGTGCCTCATTTCTAAGTAACTTGACATTAGCCACGAGGTAGAAATCCTAGGTGTTTGATGTTTTCTACTGGTATTTAAATTAACTTGAGGCTTTAACTGAAAAAAGTAAAATAATTTTAAAGTGATTACAGCTATTTTTAATTATTCCCTTGGGTGATAGCAAGAATGATGAAACTCCCATGAATGGAAATTATCCACATCTTTATTATAACTAAAAAGACTACTTGATTTATGATCAGTAACTATGCTGGAGGCAGAATAGTAGTTAGCACTGGTGGGTTGAGTGTGCCTATACTGGATAATCTGTGCTTCTTAGAGTTTTGCAGAACCTGTAAACTTTAATTAAAGCTGATAGTTGAAAATAAAATACATTACTTTTGAAAGACGCTATTTTACATATCCTCTTTTGCTCAACCTAAAAGAACTGTACTTACAGAATTATTTTTTAAACTCTTATTAAAAGTTCAGGCTGATTAGATTTGGGGGAAGCAGAATCTATTACTGCTGCTTATAGGGCATTTTTCAAGCTTATGTAACCTCTATTTTAGGGTTCAGTAGATGAATATACTTCTGTTGAAGTTTATCACTACAGAAGAAGATTGTGGTCATGCTAGATCATTGAGTGCTTTTCAGGCATCAGTAATCATTGAGCTTCCAGTAATGACTGGGCTTACCTTGTGTGCGTTACTTTGGATAGCAGTGTGGCAAGTGTATATAGTACTCATTGTTGCCCTTAATACCCTAAACCTAGGCCTGCCATAGATTTGTTGTAATTCAGGATTTGTATGTGTCTTTTAGTGGAGAGGGTAATAATTTGGAGGGAGAAAATCTGAATTTATGTTTAATTGATGTTCATTTGTCTAGTTGTCTTAGTAACTTAATATTTTATGTTTATTTTTCTAGAAACCTATCTTTGTTTTCTGTTAAAGATACAGGTTAGTTTTCTCTGCCTCATTCTGGCCGGAAAGAGTAAAGAATAGTTTCACATTACCAATAGTCTTCTAAAATATGGTTAAGAGACTCTTGTCCTAAAAGAAATGTGAGTAAAGTAACGTTAGGTCCTTAAAAAGAAGGAGGATGTTTAGGGAGTTCGAGATCTTTGCTTCACCTTTTTTTGTGTATCATTTCCATCCTGGCAGTGACCTGGCATTGAGGAAACAATGCTGAATAAGATATTTTTCCTGCCCAGCTTTCAAGTAGTTCAAAGTCAAACAATTAAAAACACTGTAGCAGATGGGATCAAGAAGGAGAGACCCCTAACTCAGCATGCCCAGTCATGGAAGGTTTTGGTGGGGAGATTGGGACAACAGGCAGAAAGGTGTGAAAAGGCATTTTAAGCAAATGCTTTTTACATTTAAATGCAGGACAGTAAAAGTATGGTCCATATAAGAAACTGCATACAATCATGTTTTATCCAAACACTGATATTTAAGGATAAGGAGTAAGAAGTAGAACCATTAAAGATGGGATTCATTTGGTATGAAGAAAACCAAGAGACGGATGTGGAATATGACTAGATACGCATAGAATTTTACCAGTACTTATTAGCGGCCAATTAACATTATGGTTATAACTAGCTTTGACCAAATAATATCATATCTGGTTCAAGAAGTTATTCTGGGATAGAGCTTCCTTAGGAAAAGAGTCAGTCAAAACAAGATTTCACTTTTTTTAAAATCATGAATGTATGCTTAGTTCTGGTTTAAATGGCTGGGGTAGTACCCAGGCATCAGGATTTTTAAAAGTTCCCCCAAATGATTCTAATGTTTAGTCAAGTTTGAGGCATACAGACCTATGATCCTCTGTCCTGCTGCATGGAAGTTTGGTTATTGTAGAATACAGTCTCTTGTGTTCTCAGGATAATAATAGCAACTACCACAACTGAATATGGGCTAAATTTCTGTTACTGTGTTATTGTACCTACTTTATTTCTAAGCACAATCCTGCTGTCATCCCTTTCCAGAAATGAGAATGCTGGCAGTGAAGTTAACTATTCCAGTGTCACACAGTAAGCGCCAGAGCTAGAATTAGAATCTTCTATCCTGTGTGCCATATTGTTTGACAGATGTGAGGCTCTATAACCAATCGTTTTTTTGAGCTTTTAGAGTTAGTGATTCATAATTACCACGTTATTAATACTGTGATTGGTGTGATAGATAAGTAACTGGCCCAGTTCTCTCCCTACCCCCTACCTCATATCCATGTTCTTTGCCATGAGCAATTCCACCCACTAAAGAAGTGTAGTTGCCCCTCCTCTTGACATTGGCCTTTGGGACTTTGATGGTTTTGCCATGACAAGCACTTTAATAGTACTGTGTGATTGAGTTTACACTCTTACAGCTCAGCCATGGCTGTAAGAACATTTGCAGGTTACTCCACTGTTCCACAAGGAGAATGAGAACTACATTAAGCAGAGCCAAACTGTTCCTCCAGAAACCTATGCTAGATTAGACAACCCTCAGCTAATCTGCAGCTCTATTAGAATATGTGGTTGCTGTTTCAAAGCATTGAGCTTTGGGGTGATATGTTAAACATTTGTGGCCATAGTTAACTGATAAGCTGATAGAGCCTAACTTGCCAGAGTTCCAGCAGGATAACCAAATTTCAGTGTTCCACCCCATGTTCTATGTACTGGCCAAAGATAAATACAGGTTATTAGGGGCTTCCTTCCTATATTATTCTTCCAAAATAAGAGAGGAGATAAGATGCTTATAGTTAGCCATAGTTAGAGACTGATTATAGTCTATTACCTGCACATTCATAAACCAAACAGTGGCTTAGGGAATGGAATTCTCATCATTGACAGATGAGCACTATGTGATTAGACTTTTTGCAGTTTTGAGAATGTTTTTGTTTACACTAATACAGTACCCATTAGTTACATATAGCTATTGAGTGCCTAAAGTGTGGCTAATGAGACTCAGAAGCTGTTTTTAATATTATTTAGTGCTACTTATTCAAAGTTAAATAGGCACATGCAGCTAGTGGCAACCTTGCAGGACTGAAACAATCTCCTGGGCTACCAAGGAAACCATCCTTCTAAGTCACAAAGCCACTGTGTTCCTAAATAAGGGAAAGATTCTTTCAGCAGGGAAGGGTGTAGATCTTAGGTAGGTAAGAAATTTCTCAATTTCTTTTATTGTTCTAGAGTTCAGGTTACCCACCAGGATAATTTGACAATGAGCAACCGGCGGAAACATGCCCCACCAGTGAGAGCAGATGAGGAAAGGCGGCGGCAGCGTTGTTGGAACATGCACGAGGACAGAAGGAATGAGCCTCTCACCTTGACTGATGACGAGGAGCTCCCCTGCCTTGGTCTACAATCCCCCTCTGCTCATTGCATCATCCTAGATGATGATCTAAAGGATGAATTGTCTCCCAGAGATAAGTTTTTAGAGCTAGAGAGCATCTCAAAATCAGTCGATAAGGAAGATACTAGTGGCCTTTATTCCCCTTTGTCGATAAGGCTAAATATTGTGATTTCTCCCTATCACTTTGATAATTCTTGGAAAGCATTACTAGGAGAATTAACTCTTCAGCTTCTTTCTGAACAGAGTTTAATTGAAAATTTTTCTGAAAGGAGTTTTACACTTACGAATTTAGAGTCGAGCAATCAGTTCCTGATCTATATTCATTCAAAATACAAAGATGTAGAGAAACAAGAAAAAGGACTCAGCGAGCCAATTAGTCTTTGTGACAAGGGTATTCGAGTCAAATCATCCTTCAGTGATGAAATGTTTGAAGATCTGGGATGGCTGCAAAAGAAGAGAAGAATAAAACTTTATCAGAAACCAGAAGGAAATCACATTATCAAGGTATTCAATTTCTGTGGTGTCTTTTCAGAGTCTTCTGCATGGGGCAGTCCATTTCAAAGTTAATTTCAAAGGAAGGTCTGAAAAGCCAGCAAAAAGCCTCTCATTATTAAGTTTCAAAGTACACTTTATTTTGGGCTTTCAATAACTAGAAAAAAAATGTATATATTGTAGCTAATCATTTCCAGGCTGTACTTTTTCAAGGAGACCTTTCTGATTCCTCCTCCCAGGCTCTACTCTCAGTGACCTGTTTTGGTGCTCATTACCTTGTCCTCTTCCTGTAGAATGCTTTAACTATTCCCCTGCTTGCCTTTTCAACTACTTCATCTACTCTGTCTCTGGAATGGCATGATAGGAATGTAACTGGAATTCTGTTCTTTACTGCCTACAAAATGAGGTGTAATTGGGCATATAAGTCCCTCCTTTCATAGTCCCTTGTCTACTTTTCTGGTCTTATCTGTCACTCTTTACTTTGTCGTGAAAATTCCAGATTGATTTGTTTCCTACACATTCCCTGCCATGTTTTCGCATCTTTGCTTTTGCTCTCACAGTTCCCTCTGCCTGGATTGTTCCCTTCCTTTTCCCTGATAACTCCTGTTCATTCTTTAAACTCCATGGGTGGTGTTACATGCCCTTCTCCTGTAATACCTGATGCATTTGTTTCTTTTGGCCTTGGCTACTTTTAATGTAGTTACATTGTGATCTTTCTCCCCCACTGGACTATGAAGTCTTTCATCTTTACCTAGTAAAGTGCTTGGTGCTGAGCAGATTTTTGGTAAATGAATGAATCCGTTGATAATCCATTTCAGGCTCTGCTAATCACTAGTGAAGTAACTTTATTTGAATGATTTAAATGCTCTGATCTCAGCTTCTTTCTGATGAAATGTAAATAATACCCATTCTTTTTACTTCATACAGTTATATGAGTCAGGTGAGATAATGTAAGTAAATCCTTTGTAAACTGTGAAACAGATTAATTTGCCTTCATTCCAAAACTTGAAAATAAATTCTAAAATGTTAAATTCACCTTTGTCCATTTGAAAGCTATCTTATACATTTCTCATATTGAAAAGCATACATCATTAGCTCTATTTATAGTTTCAGAATTGACAGAAGGAGAGGAGGAAGTTTAGAAGATTTAAATTGTAATTCTTCCCTGGACAGTGAAACAGTGCAGCCAAGCAAGCATTCCCTCTGTTGATTGTGAGCCAAAATTGTGGCTCAGGGGTAACAACTTTGCAAGAATTCATCACTTGCATATCTGTGTTCTCTCCACCTTCCCCACATACCAAGTCTTGATCTATTTTCTCTGATCCTGATTTTTATCAGTATTTAAAATTTATTGCTGCTGTATTAAATCAGCTCTGGGTGAACACAAGGAAAAATACAAATAATAACAAAATGTAATCTTTGCCACTCTTTCCTATATAATCCTGGTTGGATTTTTGTTCTTTAGTGAAAGACTATGAGAATCTCAGTGATTAGGGAAACAAGTCCATAGTAATACAGGGAAATAAGGGAAACTGTTACTGAGTTTTTATGAAGTTCCATTGCGAAGTTTTTAAATTGTATTATCCAGGCTACTGCATGCAAGGTCTCCATTTTGCAAATAACAACATTTGGGTCACAGTAAATCAATTATTTTTAACCTGTTTACTTAGTTCCTAAGTAACAACACCAGTCCTCAAATGAAAGTGTTCTGACAGCAAAACTTCATACTATATTGCTTTACCGTAAACTAATGTTAAGGTCTGTTTTCCTATATATTTTAGTGTTTGATCACGTAGTAGGGATTCCCAAATCTAACTGTGTTTAGCAATCCTTGCATGTGCATCAGAAGCTCCTGGGCGAATCTGCATTTTTAACCAACTTCACCGATTATACTGATGCTCATCAAGTTTAGAAATTATTGACATAATAGGTAGAATTGGTGTTCTCATCACATTGTCCCAGGTTGAGTTTCACCTAGGGAAGTATTTTTTCTAGCAACTTGAATGGTGCATTGCATATAGTAGGCACTGCATTTGTAAAATAAATCTTAATGTAAGTGACAATATGTGAGGGTGATTTGGTAGGTATATATTTAGTGTTTGTTGATAAAATACTGTGTATACCTTTAAAAATGGTAATGGTAAAAAATGTTTTTCTTATTTTCTCATAAAGAATGGTATAATATAATTAAAACTTTTTTTCCATTAATTCCTTGTAGGTTGGAATTTATCTTTTGGAAGATGGCCTAGCGAAACTAGATTTTTTGAGTGATACAAATTCAAGAATGAAGAAGTTCAATCAGCTCATGAAGAGAGTGATGGAAAAGTTGTACAATTTTATTATTCCAGGTAATTTTTTAAGTAAACTTTAAAGTTGCTATTAACTATTAGTTGTGAGTTTTCCCCAATTCCTGTACATAACAACCAGAAAAGCAGCTAATAAAACCATAATAAATTTCTAAAAGCTCTGTAAAACTACCATATGACAAAATTGTACTTATCTTAAATGCTCCCAGAAATATAATTTGTGTCTATATTTGCTTAATACTGTGCTTAGCTTATAGTAAGCACTTAAGAAATCTTTACAGAGTCTTCAGATCTAAAAGAATCTGAGCTGACTAGAATTTTTGCATTATTCCTGTGCTTTTATTTGTTATGGCCAAACATCTTGGCTGGCCTTCATTCCCCCTCTCCTCTGCAGTCTGACAAATAATCTCAAGAGACTGCTTCCCATAAAGACCAGTAAACTTGCCACTGGTCCTTGGCAAGACGTGGCATCTGTGGCCAGGACTGCAACTTCACAATTGTCTGCCATTGGTTCCCAGGGGGAATGTTGATGGCTTGGCGCAGACCATTAACACTACTGGAAAAATGGCTCAGATTCTCCAATCTCTACTCATGGTGGGTCAGAATTATTTCAGGTGCAAATTGTACAGTATTTTCATACTGTATTTTTTGGGAAATCAGTTTGACTGTGCTTTCTCTAGTACATTCTTTGTAAAGTTTTATAAATCATTTTGTATGTTAAAGACTTAAAAGGAGGAAATTTTCTGGTTTCAGAATTGGAAAGAATGCTTTTAAATACATCTAAAGTTTTTTTAAATTATTAATGATTAGAATCCATTATTCCACTTTGTAAAGATAATACTATTTGAATTTTTCAAAGGAAAACTTTAATTTAGTTATCAATACTAGATTATGCAGCTATAGTAGCAGTTTGAAATAACCAAGCATATAATTAGACATTAATTGTAAAATTTTGAGAATCCTACATGACATATTTTTTATTGAGATAAGTGAATTATCTTTTTTCTTATACAGTATTTTTGTTTTAGAGCATATGAGGTATGTCCTATTAGTGTATAAGCCTTTGTGAAACAGTTCAGACATAAATTATTAGCTAAAAGTGGCTCATAAATTTGTTAGAGATTTTGAATTTTTTTTAATGTTATAATAGCTACAAATCTTCTTCCACAGGGGAGTTGTGCTCAACAAATGAACATGATATTCTTGTAAATTTTTATTAGTGGCTTATGCACTTATCTCCTAATTGGTAGCTGATGCTATCAACTGTCTTTTGTAGCATATAAAATAGAATGGGAACCCTTGTCTTATTAGACATAGAAAAATTGTCTGCATACAGATTCTTTTTATATTGAGATGTAAAGGTGAAATAAATTGTCATTTTGTAAACTGTAAAAGATACTCAATTCTCAAATTTTTATTGAATACCTACAATGGGCAAATCATGTGCCAGCTGCTTTGAGGAGCTATAAAACATACAGCCTTTGCCCTCAAAGAGCATCACAGTTTAGTGCAGAAGGGATGAATATACATAAATGATTATACTACTAGACAGACTCCAATGTATTGATATATCCAAATTATCAGAGTATTACATGAAAACAGAGGAGAACATTAATTCTAACCAAGGAAAACAGAAGAAAATTCCATGGAACAAGTAGCAGTCGAGCTATCTTAAGGAATGGATGGGTAGGTTTTTGATCAGTGAAGAATTAAAGATAAGACCTTTCAGTCACAAAACACTGAGCAAGCCCCAGAGTTGGGAAGGTACAAGGTATGTTATTGGAATAGAATTGCTTTTAGTTACATAAGGTGGATCAAGTTGTTTAGGGTACCTTTGTTGTTGGGTGTACAGATGTGTTGGAAGAGGATGAAGATGATTCAGAGAGTGAGCCAGAGGGACAAAACATTGATAAGCTCTATCAGTTTGTGAAGCAAATACATCAGCGAGAATCACAGTCCATCCAAGTGGATGTCCAGCATCCTGCGCTAATGCCTGTGTTGAGACCATACCAAAGAGAGGCCGTCAGTTGGATGCTACAACAAGAGCATTTTTGCAGAAGCGTTCCTACTGGTGGCAAGTATAAGATGCTTACAGAGGGGCAGATTAGCCAGAGAGATTATGTGAAAGATAGTTAGGGTGAGGGGAAATTGAACATTAAAGAAACCATATTGAAAAAATAGGATAGAATGGGTGTTACTATAAGCAAAATTATTTCCTAAGAAATCCTTCAAAATTGAAATCTAGGGAAGTTCTTTTGTGAGTTCTCTCACCTGTAATACCTGGAACTGATTTTTCCCACCAAGTAAAGGCTGTTTTGATGGGAATTTTTAAAAACCAAGAAATTTTTTACATGCCTTTCCAACAAAAAGTTGCCTTTAGAACCTGATCAGATAGGAATCTTGCTAATCATCTTCAAGAGGCTTCACAATTTGACAGTAAATGTGACAGAAAGCAAAATTACCAAAAAGGTGAAGACTTAACATGTGACTAATCTAATTTTCCTATGTTTGCATTATTTTCTTTACTCCACAAAATAAAAATACATTATCATTGTTTTCATGAAAGAAGTAGATTTGGGGGAGTCACTTAATGCCACTTCTTTATCAATATATTTAAGAGATGGGCATGAGACTTTCACATGATCCTAGGAAGTGAAATGTTCCTATTTGTCATTCTTCCTATGTAATTTTATTTTAATGATGAGTAAGCACTGATTTATTTCTCCCATGAGTTCCAGTTTATACCTCTTTATCCAACAAAGTCCATTTTTTAAACTTCTTATTTTGAAAAATAAATATCAATTCGTAACCAGTTACTTCTTCCTACTTCTCCTCCTTCTCCCATACTCTGATTTATTTTGAAGTAATAATTCCACATACCATACCACTTTATCTGTTAATAGTCCTGTTTATTTCATTAACATACAAAGGTTTTTTAAAACAGATATATATATAATAATGAATTTTAAAATCCAGTAATTCCTTAATATCACCAGTGTCTCTCTCTCTCTCCTTTCCCCCTTCTGTTTCTCTATTATACTTTGTTTAAATCTGAAACCAAATAACCTCCATACTTGAGAATTAGTTGCTGTCTCTTAAGTTTCTTATAATCCATAGGCTTTACTGTCTATCTCATTCTGTTTTTTTCCTTAAAATTTCTTTATTGAAAAAATTGTTAGCTCTGTAGAGTTTCCCACAGGTTGGATTATTTTTTCTACAAAATGAAGTAATTTTTTTTTTTACTAAGGTATAACTTACATACAGTAAAATGCACAAATCTTAAGGGCACAGTTTGATGAGTTTGGACAAATCTATGCATGTATGTAACCAGCAACCCAACTAAGACATAGAATTAGACTTGCCCAAAAGTAGCCACTAGCCACACATGCCTCTTGAAATTTGAGATGTGGCTATCCAAATGATGTGCTGTAAATTTAAAATATACATCAGATTTCAAACAGTACCCAAAAAGGGATGCAAAATATCTCATTGATCATATATTGAAATGGTAATATTTTGGTAATGTTGGGCTAAGTAAACTGTAAATTCTTCCTGTTTCTATTATCCTATCATAGAATGCTGACAAAAATATTTCCATCACTTGAGAAAGTTCCTTCTTGGCCCAGTCATTTATTCTTCATCCCCTTAAGAAGGCAACCACTGTCACCAAAAATTAGTTATGCCTGTGTTTGAAATAATAAATGGAATGCCAAAATATGTATAGTTGGGGGAGTAGAAGGAGTTAGCTTCTTTCAACATAATGTTTTTGAGATTCATTCACTTTGTATGTATCAGTAATTTATTCTTTCTTGTCCATAGATTGGATTTTGTTGTTACATAACATGTGTCAGCTAATTCTTTGGTTCCCATAATTGAAACTTTATTTTTTTCATTTTGTAAATTCTGTGTACCTATATAACTACTGCATCCATTAATCCCTAAAGAAGGCAACAAAAAATAATTTGCTGTTTCTCTGATTAGTAGAGACATACTTCCTATTTGGCAATTGGTTTAAACAACTTAAAATATTAAGGGAAAGTGGAAAATACAGTTTGAACAAACTTAGTACTTATGTGTTAAAGTACTAGATGTTTTTTCCTCAGTGACTTTCCTCCCACTCTCAGACTCATATTAACCTTATTTGGGTTAATGTATTTGTCTGCTAGCATATGTCCATCAAGTTATTTAAAAACTTACGGCAACTTTTTGAGAGATTTATAAAAGACAAGCTTCTTTCCTTTATTGGGTAGGAGTTAGCTCTATGTATTAGTTTTCCTTTCCTGTTAATCCCTTGTAATTTGCTATACTTTGTTTTTTTGTCTTATCACTTGCTTATGTGGAAAATATTTGTGACCAAAACAAAAGGAGGCAAAGAATAATATCTGAAAAATATTATTAAAAGAAAATAAAAGAATAAGATCCTAGCTTTTTTTCATGTGTATGTGACTTCCCAGGGAATCCTGTTAACTTATTTTAATGTGATTATCTGACAGAGAGGAAAACAGACAAAACTTGTTCTTACTGTTACATTTTTCTTTAGAAAATGCCTTGCACTTCTTATGGCGAGAGATTGTTACATCTGAGGGTTTGAAACTCTACTACAATCCATATACTGGCTGGTAAGGTGAAATTTTATATGCTTGAAATTAAAATAAATACAATGAAAACCTGTACAAGATTGGTAGCATATGTTTTTAGCCTTGGCAGTACCTCAAGGACTACTAATTTAAAGTCTTAATAGGCATTTTTATAGATAGGATAGATATGGTATTCACAGATTCATAAAGGTCACGGAAAGAAGGCAGACATGCTTCCTTTCATTTATAGAAGAGGAAAAAGTGGTGAGTATTTACCAGCACCAATCCTGTCTCTGTAGTCTTAGTTGTCAGCTCAAGCAGTTTTTTGATTATCACAGTTCTTATAGTCATGACCTAGGGATTTGAATTATTTGGTCCCAAAATGTAATTTCAAAAAACTTAGATTTTTTGTGGATTTCTTCCATTTCTTTTCAGGAATAGTATAATTTTTACGTGCATGCCTGTGATGTGTCTTTCTTGTTTTTTCCTTTAGCATTATGCGTGAGTACCCAAATGCTGGGCCACAGTTGCTTGGTGGAATCTTAGCAGATGAAATGGGTCTTGGAAAGACAGTGGAGGTTTTGGCTCTGATTCTGACTCATACTCGACAAGATGTCAAACAAGATCCTCTCACTCTTCCTGAGGTAGGAGGAGTGCTGTAGGGCTTGGGAAAGCAGGGGACATACGTTCTCAAACAAAGAAAGCATCATATGTTGAACATTTCCTTGGCACTTAAGTCAACACTTCCAGTTTACTCTGCAGCTAATGATTTAAGTGGGCACAGAGAATGGAATGTTTGTGACCTGGCAGAGTTTTTTTTTTTTACGAGATGTTGACCAACTAGGAAAGGAACATGCTGTCACTTACTGAGTTTCCTTCTCGTTGGCCGATAAACTCTCTTAAGGAGACTCCTGTTACTTCCTCAGATGTTCTCTCACTCGTACATGTCTTCATAGTACCACTAAATATTCTTTAGACTATTTTAAAAAACCTGTACAAATCTCCGATACGTAAATCTTAGAATCTAATCATTAGAACTTTGTTAAATAAGTAGCTTAGCAATTAGATTGCTAGGTGAAACAAGCCCTAAGTCTAATATATTTTGTTAAATAAGTAATTCACAGTAGTGAAAGCAAAACACTGTGTGACTACTGAATGTTGTTTCTATCAGGGAAAAGTGGTGAATTATTTCATTCCATCACATTATTCTAGAGGAAAAGTAGATAACACAGAAACCCGGAATATGGAATTTAGACCAAATGAAAAAGTTCAGTGTCCCCGTAAGTATGAAATCTCTTAAAGAAAACACTTTTTACAGTGATCTTTGTTCTAATTCTTACAATCCTTATATAGAGATATCTTTCAATTGGTATGAATAATTGGTTTTATAGTTGTTTATACTTCACATAAGTGGATTCAATTACAAGCCATATTATCTTAACAAAAGTAAAGATTTTTCTTTCAGCTGACTCAGTCCAGCTGGTTCTTGCTCAATTTGTTATGTTTAAGTTTCTTTAATGTACAGTTTAAACCAGACTTTCTTTATTCTCAAGCATAGCTACTTCATATTCTGCTAGCAAGTGAATGTTTTCCCTTACTAAGGTAGCATTTACATAGGTAGCTTATACATAGATAACTGTGTATAAGTTTTTTTATAATTTTAGATGATAGTTATCTTGTAAGATTAACAAATTAATGGGTAATTCTTCCTTAAATTATTTCCATTACTGTAATTTATTTCTTAATGTGTAAATAGAGTTTTGTTACATATTTTTCAAAATGATGATGTACAGACAACATATCTTCAGTAGATCTGTTTCATTTTTTTTTTTTTGGTCCTAAGTGCACATTAAAATTTACTGAGTTTTATTTTCTTTTAACTGCTATGACTGAGTACCTTATCTTTTTGTATTTAGCTACACGTGTGATGATCCTGACAGCTGTGAAAGAAATGAATGGGAAAAAAGGTGTTTCCATGCTTTCCATCTATAAGTATGTCAGTTCTGTATATAGGTATGATGTTCACCGGAACAGAAGTCTTCTGAGACGGATGCTGAAGTGTTTAATTTTTGAAGGTCTTGTGAAACAGATCAAAGGCCACGGTTTTTCTGGAACTTTTACACTGGGGAAGAATTATAAGGAAGAGAAGGTATCTGATAAAGCAAAAAAGCAGGTAACAGAGCATTTATTAAGTAACTATACATATGTGATGCCCTCCCGAATGAGCTGACAGATCTCACATTAACACTGAAGGACAAGTCAAAGTGGATTGACCAGCTTGTCTCCTGTGAAAGAAATGGCAGATAAAAAGTTGCTTTCCTAAAATAGGGAATCTATAACATTTTTTTCTCCATCCAGGGTAGAAGACTGCAATGAACTTCTGTGCTTTTAGTAACCCTCTCACCAAAAGAAAAAAATCTCCCTCCATTAATGCCATTCCTTCCATGTTAAGTGCCCTAACTCCTCTGTTCAACCTTGGCTCTGACATCACTTGGAGGAGCTATTGCTGTAGGTACCTCCTCACAGCCCCTCTCTGCTACATAGGCATTCCTATGGCATTGTCTTATTTTTACTGTTCTCTCCTTTCCAACAGACCCCTTTGAGATCAGGGCCTACATATTTGTATCCCCAGACTCAAACACTGTGCCTGGCACAGAATTGACATTCAATTTATAACTACAGGAGAGGGACACAAGTAAAAAGAAGAAAGAAAAAAGAAATTTTTTTGCTAATTGCAGTAACTAGTAGATTCACTTTCTTTAAATGTTGTATTTCAGTAATTGGCATTTTTATAATTGTCCTAGTTTATATATTTATTTATTATAAACGACAATATACCTTGAACAACATGGGTTTGAATAATAAGGGTCTACGTAGGCATGAACTTTTTTTAGTAAATATATTGGAAAATGTTTTGAAGATTTGCAACAATTTAAAAAAACATGTTCCTTTCTCTAGATTGCTTTGTTGTAGGAATATAGTATGTAATACATGTAACATACAAAATATGTGTTAATCAACCAACAGTAGCCTATTAGTTAAGTTTTAGGGGAGTGGGAAGTTATATTTTCAACTGCACAGGGAGTCAGTGTTCCAACCCTCACATTGTTCACGAATCAACTACACTGCTCTTAACTGATTTAAACAGACTATCAGTTACAGTAGGTTGATACCAAAGCATTAGCACCTTGCTTTATCTTCCTAATTTTTGTTCTCCAAATCTTACTTCTATAGTTGTAGAGCCTTCCTTTTCTTTTGGAGCAGCAGGCTATAGGGAGGGTTTTTATAGAGGGCAATTTGAAAGCCACTGATGAGCAGTGATTCTCCTTAGGGAAAAGGGTAGCAAAAACTGGCTACTGGATTGTTATACAAAGCACATAGAGTTGAGATTTAATACCAGAAATATAACTATGTTGAAGTAAATTAATTAATATTTTTCATAGGCAGTAGGTAGTCCAAGGAAAATTCAAAAAGAATCCAGAAAATCAGGAAGCAAAGACACAGATTCTGAATACTTCCCCTCAGACTCTTCTGATGATGATGATGATCCTTATCATTACTATAAGCCCAAGAAAAATCGTAGTAAATTGAGGAAAAATCTTGTTCCCTCTGCAAAAGCGAGAAAAAGTCAGCCTAACATAGATCTCAATTCACAAAATCACTGTCCAGCTACCAGTGACTCTGGAATTACTGATGTTACCATATCTGAAAACACATGTATCTTTGAAGTGAAGCACGAACATGCAACAGAGGGCCAAGGTGGGTCTCCACACCCTGTTGGTGGCAGTGTGCCACATGCTAATATCATGAGTCCTTTTAATTCCCCTGATTATCGCTTTGAGTGCATATGTGGTGAACCTGACCAGCGAGACCATAAGCTGCGTATTCAGTGCCTGAAATGCCACCTGTGGCAACATGCAAAATGTGTGAATTATGAAGAGAAGAATCTGAAGATTAAGCCTTTTTATTGCCCCCACTGCTTGGTTGCAATGGAGCCAGTATCATCAAGAGCAACTCTGATCATCTCTCCCAGCTGCATCTGTCATCAATGGATAGATGAAATACGCAAGCACGTGAGGTCATCATCTCTTCGTGTATTGGTAAGGCAAGTTTGGACTCTTAAAAGGGATAAGAAAATGTAAACTTCTGCTTCTTCATGATAGTTTTTATATAATTTTGGTTACTTTGTTCTTTGTACCAAAAATTAATTTTATGAGGTAATAAAATACTGAATCAGAACTTTAAGAGGAAATTGAGAATAAGAAATAGTACAGTAGGATGAATTTTTCTGACATCAGAGCTTTAGTAGTTAAGCACTTGGGGTGGAAAGATGTGAACATTTTTAAAGAAATTGTTTATCCTGTGTATGCAAAAGCCTTTATGTAAGCATTTAAAATCTCAAAGATGCCATCCAAAGGCAGCATTGTGTTAGAGTCACTTTTTGTCTCATCTGCCAGCTCTTAGCTCCAGAGTAGTCCTCTGAAGCTTCAGTTACCTTATCTGTACAATAAGAATGTACTCAATTCAGCAAATAAATGTTAAACCTGTTATGTGCCAGGAACCATGCTAAGTTCTGAAAATAGTTCCCCCCACCCACCCACAGACTTAGGTACACAGTCATTTAATATTAGTTAGTATTCTTCACTCCCTTTGTTCTTTTCTTCCTTTCCATTGCAAATGTTATTGAAGGTTTTCTATATTTCAGTCACTAGCATAGTCATAGAGAATAGAGTAGTAAGTAAAACACCTTCTCTGTCATTGAGGACCTCTGTTCTCTGGGGTAGATAAATTAGGTTTGAATCTTTGCTCTACCAGTTTTAAGCAAATCGTTTCATGTTTCTTTTATATGGGATTGGAGTGACAACTACTAACGGGGTTGTTGTTAAAGACAGAAGTAAAGTATATAGCACAGTGTCCAAAATATAAGAGGCATTCAGTAAATAACTCTTACTGTTCTACTTCTTCATACCAATATGCTTTTGCATCTGCTATTGATTCCATCTACCTACCTACCTGTAAGTCCTTTTCCCCTTTTCTCCAAAACCTCTGAGAACTCCTAAATGTTCTTTAAGATCCACCTCACATTTTAACTCCACAAAGTTTATCTTCTCACCATAGAATTGGTCTTCCCGCTGCCACATTTACCTCTGTTACATTTCCTTTCACATTGCTTATGTTATTAGTCTTCCATGCTAAAATGTGTCCTTCTCCAGAAAGGTATGGGATGCATCTCATAGCATGTTTGGTCCTAAACAGATAGAAAGGGCTCCGTTAAGGTTACAACTGAAGGAATGTTTCAATTGTGAGCCTCTCTGCAGTAACTGTCTGTGCCGATTATTTCCTAGGTATATCAAGGAGTGAAAAAAGATGGCTTTTTACAACCTCAGTTTTTGGCAGAACAGGATATAGTTATCATTACCTATGATGTCCTTCGTTCAGAACTAAACTATGCAGATATCCCACACAGCAGTAGTGAGGATGGGCATTGGCTACGGAACCAGAAGCGCTATATGGCTATTCCCAGTCCACTCGTAGCCGTGGAATGGTGGAGGATCTGCCTTGATGAAGCTCAGATGGTTGAATGTCCTGCCATAAAAGTGAGAATTTCTGCAGCATCTTTTGAGGGTTGATAAAGACAAAAGAGGAGACGCATTGGGGGAAGCTGTCCAGAAAAAAATTTAATAATTTAAGTATAATTAACCCACAGCATTGATGTTGACCAAAAGTTTCCTGTTAAATACTCCATGTTTGCTTTTCTTTGGTACTTTGAACTGCATAACTCTTAAAAATTACTTTGGTACTCAGAATCATTGCTCTATGTGCAGTGCCCATGTGTATTTGAATAAGATGCAAATCAAAGTAAACTAAGGACTTCTATAAGCATTTCTGCTAAACGGAAAACTTGTCACATAGGCTCTGATAGCTTTGGGCCAAGTGGACTTTGGTAGTTTTTTATCAGAGAGACCAAATGGTAACAGAAAGTACCACTTCAGAAGATAGAATTTTGATTCAGCCTTTCGTTGTCATATTGCTTTATTCTGTCTTCTTCAGCCAGTTTGTAACCAGAATTGAGTTTATGAATCATGTCTATTAGTACAGTGGTTCACATCTGAACGATGCAGTGGCAGTCATTTAGGGGACCTTTTCAGGATGTACCTTTTCCTCTTTGTGGGGCGTAGGGGGTGGGCAAAGAGGAGCAGCCTCCTGCTAACAAGAGCCACTCTACTAGAGTCCCATTGAATATGCCGTTCAACATTGTGTGTGATAACCATATATAAGAATAAATACATCTGACCTGAAGCATAGCTTTTCATGGGCTATTTTCATAAGCAAACATATTCCTGGTTTTCTGTATATTCTTTTTTATTTCATATTTTTCTTTCATTAGGCTGCAGAAATGGCTCAACGCTTGAGAGGGATTAATCGCTGGTGCATCAGTGGCACTCCAGTGCAGAGAGGATTGGACGGTAATACATGGTTTCCTCACGTATTGCATATCCTCGAAAAGCTTAAGTTTTCTGAAGAAAAAGTATTGTTATATTTAACCTTTTACTGAAGTACTTATTTTAAGTGATTATACATATATTTACACTTGACTCCTAATAGTTTCTGGCATTCATCTTTTTAAATGGAATCAGGTGATTTTTGTTTGTATCTGTGAGAACAGATTATAGGAGTAACTAATCCTGTGTCCTATGTTGAACGGTTATCGTGCCTGCCTAAACAGGTAGATTGGATTTGAATTGAACTCACTGTTTCAAAGTGGTAGATAGAAAATAGAACCTGACAAGGAGAAAAAAGAAAAAGGAATTAATGTCAATTGGCTATGTCTATAAAAATCAGGCCTACAGTATTCATTGACTGAATTCATTCTGTGGGACCATAAT